AACACATCTTGTACCTTCATATCTGATTGGTTAAAAAAAAAAAGACGATTTCGTAAAAATGAGCAACAGACTTGAGACAAATCCTTTATATATCATATATTAAGTGTGGATTACCTTTTTTGGCTCCGTTTCTTCTGGGTGGACTCTGACAATTTTGGGGGTTTTGTCCCAAGGCTGGCCGGCCTATATGGTGTAAGAAAACATTATATCCCTGTTCCGGCCATAGAAGATGCATGCTAAGTGGTTGATTGTTGGTGTAAGAAAACATTATATCCCTGTTCCGGCCTATATGTACCTTACTTATTGTCATAAGAACCATAAATTAGTAGTTTGTTGTTTCTTTTGTAGTAGAATTAATTATGATTAATTCACCCACTGATGTCACCAGTCCAGTCATCCTGTTCCACCGGCATGAATCAAATTGAGTTTTCGAATTCGGCGAACATGCCTGCATCTTTCCCATTTGATTTAGTGATATGAGATCTTGAGATTTAGCCTAATCTACAAAATTCACGCACCATGATGGTTAACAGAAGTCACGCACCACTGTGCACAGAAATTAATACAAACGTTTTTATTGATTTATTTACCTGGTTCGCAATTTCCATAGTAGAATGGAATTTTGTAGTGTGCATGCTTATTTGGTTGACAATTTTCATATCTAGACATGCATGCTTTACATGTGTATCTTAGGTGTAACTTTTTTGTGAGCAGCTTTGGACAAACATTTATTCATTTTATGCGTTCTAATTTACTCTACTAGTTTGTAGTTTGGGGCTACACTATGTGGGAGTGCTTGCCAGTTTCTTTTTACAGATGAAACCTTCCTGTCAGTCCTAGTCAGACAAAATAAGGTGAGCAAAAGAAAAAGAAAGACTGACCTTTTCAAGTTTAAGTATTGCAAGTTGATTTTGGATTACAGTTGGATTGCATTTTTCAAGTTTAAGTTCTGTACGTTTATTACTTTCTATTCCATTTCAATTAGTAATTTTTTGTTTTTCCTTTTCTCAATTCATTTGATCTTTTTGGTTCCCCACAACATTACTTCTTCACTGTTTTGTTGGATTTTTATTATGTCAAGGATTGAGTTTGTTAACTCTTACTAGTATTACAAATAGTTGTTAATGAAGGACTAGTTGGGTATCCAATTTTGGAAATTATTTATGTAGTTAGATGACTTTTTGAGAAACTTCAAACTACGGTAATATCTCAGATTCTAAATAAGCATTGGTCTTCATTATCATCAAACTATATATATATATATATATATATATATATATATATATATATATATCATTTCTCACACGAGAAATTTTGGTAGTATCCTTCACATGTGTGAAGGGTTATATTGATAATTTAAACATTCAATGTTTTATTTGTTGGATAAAACTTCTTCTCTGTGCTACTATTCACCCTTTTTCACTTTCTTTCAATTTATATCTTCAATTCATTTCTTCATGATTCTTCCCCGCAAATATGAATCTTTACTACCTGACAGTGCTAATTATGAGTGCCAAAACTGCTAACTATTTCAGTTCTTACAATTAAGAATATATAACTTCCACAATGCCAACTTTTCTAAACCTCTTTGAATCCTTCTTTTTCATTTATGCTCTTTTGATGTAATTAATCTTTAATAAGTTTATCACAAATGTATTAATACATCTCCACATGTATGAATTCAAAAGCAAATGTTTTTTCATCTTCCTACATTATTATCAACATCTATATAATAATTATTGAATGTTAATTTAAGTTTAGTATTCATTGCATAAGTCTTTTCATCTAGCCCGCCATATTATTTTTAATTTTCTTCAGTTTCATCCTTTTCCTCTTCTTGTCCATAATTATTTTTTGATTTTTTTTTTAATTTTGCAATCTTTTCATCTTCTTTTTTATTATATCTTTTTGTGCTCGACTATTTCATTCAATATTAAAGGTTAAGCACAAAGAATAAACAACAATCCAGAATTTTTTATTCCCTTGCTTATCAACATTTACGTACAATTCTCTTGGAAAACTGTGTTGCGGATGCGGGTCATTTTTTTATTTTTTTTTTGGGTGAAACGTTAATATGTATTAACTTCTCCAACAAAACTGTTTATGTACACTTCTTACATCACTTTCAACATGCCATCAAATACTAAAAACCTATCCTGTGTAAAAATTCTTTCTCACTTTGCCTTAGCTTTTTACAGCTGATAGTTACTCTCTACTTCACCTCTTGCTGAATTTGTTTCTGCAACACATTCATATCCTGAATCAGCCCACCATGCATCACTTCATTCCTGAGTTGCCAAATTTTATAAACAACGGCCACTAGAATCCCAATCATCACCCTCTGTTTGCACTGATTTTGCTTCCAAATGTTCAGCATTCTATATTTCCAAGCAGAGAACCTACTTGGTACTGCATCACATCCCAGCCAACTTTTCAACTGCTGCAACAACTGTTTAGAATAATGACACTGGAAAAACAAGTGCTCAAGGATTTCCTCCTCAACAGAGCAAAGAACACAGAGAAGGGGTTGATCAAGGATATGCATTTTCTGTAATCTACTAATGTGAAGAGTCGACCTTTCATAGCTAACCACATGACAAAACTGTGCTTAGGAACGTTCAATTTATTCCATATGATTGGTGCCTCTTTCATCTTCACTCCTTCCCCTCTAAACCAGCTGTACCCTGCTTTAACAGTATACTCACCTGACTTACTGCCTGTCCACTTCCCTGCTACAACCCCAGCCTTCATTTTCTCTTTAATCTTTATTAAGGTCTTCCAGTACCAACAAGCCCCTTTTGGCGACTGATAATTCCAGAAGTTCTTCTCCTTTATATAATATTCGTGACACCACTTAACCCATAGGTTATCTTTCTTACCTGCCAGAGCCCAAATCTGCTTCCCCAGAGCTGCCTGATTTCAGATTCCCGGCTCTCTTAGGTTTAGGCCTCCGTACTTCTTCGGTTTACAGAGCTCATCCCAAGCAACTAGAGCTTTTACTCTGCCATTTTCCTTCTTTTCCCACAAGAAATCCCGACAAACTCTAACAACCTGCTCAATGACACTCTTACGCAGCACAAAAATAGACGCCCAATGCGTATGTAGTGTCAACAGAACTGCATTCACGAAAACTACCCGTCCTGCATAAGATAAATGCTGTGTAGCCCAGCACTTAACTCTTGCAGTCACTTTATCTACCAACAACTGACAATCCACTTCCTTCCATTTGTTAGGAGATAGGGGGACTCCCAAATACCTCATTGGAAATGATCTTCTGTTAAACCCCATGATTCGCAATATCTCCTCTTTAACATCTTCACTTACACCTCCACAGTAAACATGTGACTTATTCAAGTTAGCTTTTAGACCTGTTCTTTACCCTTCTAACAGTTTGAATGTCAGCTTTCAAAGGAGAATCAAATCATCAGCAAAGCTGAGATTTTTTGATATTCAACCTTTTACATTTTGGATGATACTTGAACCCTCCCAAAGCAATTTCAAATTTAACCTATTCAAATATTCCATACATAACACAAACAGCAAGGGGGAAACAGGATCCCCTTTCTGTAATCCCCTCTTCCCTTAAAAAAAGCCTACTAAACCCCCATTCATTCATAAAGAAAAACTACAAGTAGTAAAACATTCTTTAATCCATGCAGTAAACTTACTTGGGAATTTATACGCCACTAGGATTTCCTCTATAAATTGTCATGCAATCGAGTCGTATTCCTTTTGGAGATCCACCTTCATTAAGCATCAAGGCGATGCATTTTCCTGTTGTACAAGCTTGCTAACACATCTGACAACCTGTTGCTGATTATCTTGGTAATACATTTGTATCGGCCTGTACTCAGCTGCTGTTTGAGGAGCCTTGGTTTTTGGAACTAGGGCAATAACGGTCGAATTAGCCTGTTTGAGCAACTTCCCGGATTTGAAGAATTCTTGCACTGCATCACAAACATCCTTACCAACAACAGCCCAAGTTTTCTTGTAGAATGTACTATTGAACCCGTCAGGACCTGGGCTCTTAGTGTCGTCTATTGAGAACATAGCCTGCTGAATCTCCTTCTCCGATACATCCCTAATTAGTTCCATTTGCTGCTCAAGTGACAACAGAGGTCCAGTTCCACAAACTTCCTGGTTAACAGCTATTCTTTCTTCTTCCTTACCCAACAGATTCTTGAAGAAACCGAGAAAATGATTCTCAATTTTTTACCATTCTTCTATTACCACTCCCATAAGAGCATTTGCACTAATCTCCACATATTTCTTCACCAGTTCCTTCTCTTGCTCCTGTAAGGAGTATCCTGTGGTTGATCCTGTAACCGTCTTTGCAGTTCCTCCATTTGCAACTTAGTTTGTAAAATCTGCTGATCAATATTGTCAAATTTCAGTTTGTCAAGCTCCTTCAGCAATGGCTTCAGTCTCTTCTGCTTTTGAACCAATTGAAATTTCTTGGTTCCTCTGATTTCCTGTTGCCAAGAAGTCTGAACCAATCCTGTGTATTCCTCAACAGTAGTCCACATATTAAAGAACCGAAACCACTTCCTAGACTGACAGATTATAATTCCATTGTATCACCATTGGATAGTGGTCTTACAGTCCTTCTAGCATAACAGTCACATAACTTGCATCAAACCGGGCAGCCCAAGCTTCATTTATCAATGTTCTATCAAGTCTAGCATATATCCTCTGATCTCCAAGCTGCTTATTATTCCAAGTGAAAAAGATTCCATGAGCTAACAAACGTTCAACTTGGCATTCCTCAATCATACGTTTGAATTCATCTGTTTCTGCTAGAGTTACAGGTAAACCCCCATCCCCCCCCCCCACCTTCTCCTCCTGACTAATGACGTTATTGAAATCTCCTGAAATGATCCAAGGATCTACCATGTTCTGCCCTATCAACATTAGTTCATTCCATAAAACTGACCTGTCTTGTCTTCCATTAGTTCCATACACCACTGCCATCCAGTATCTTCTACTTGCTAGTCTATCGTTCACTTACAATGGGCAAATTGCTCCTCCTTTCTATGAACTGTAATCTGCACTTCATCCCGCTTCCACAGAACTACAATTCTATTTCTCCCTCCATTATTCATATTGTTTCCTGAATAATCATAGTCTTCCCAATACCTCTTGATCATATCCTCTAACTTCTCATCCATCATTTTTACTTCTACTAATTATATTCACATAGTTTGCTGAGACTAGGTATTTTAGTTCTCTTTGTTTCAGGGGACTATGCAAACCCCTTATATTCAATATTATTGTACTATTTATTAGTAGGATCCAATGTACCTCCTTTCTGCACCTCCTTACTAACCCATATCTTGTAATCAACCACAGGATTGCCAACATACTGTGTTCTAACAGTGACTGTTTCAGGCTGTTTTCCCTCAGAGCAAGTACCACCTCTCGGTTTCTCTTCCTGAACTCCTACATTCTTCTTAGGGACAACTGCCACATTCTGCTTGACCTGCCCTATCTTCTTGATCTTCTTCCTACAAATGTCCGTTGCATTCCCATACCCCTTGCACTCTGCACATCGAATGGGCTTCCATTCATACTCCACTGCCTGCTCCTGTACAATACCGTTTTCATCTTCATACCACAAGTGGTCAGGGAGCTGATCCTTGATCTCCATTTCAACTAACAGCCTGGCGAATCCAACACACTGCTTAGTGGCTGTCATCTCATCCATTTTCAGAGGCTTCCCAATAGTACTTGCCATCCTACTCAGGATATTGGGGCTCCAAAATTTCAGTTTCAGTCCAGGAAGCTTAATCCAGATTGGAGCCTTAAGAACTTCTTCTAGCTTGAAACCATCTTCCATGGACCAATCCTTTACTATCAATGGTTTGCTGTATAGATGGTAATGATTCCCCAACACTGTTTCTTTCCCTTCCAAACTCTTGAATCTTACCACAAAGACCCCACTGTCTAGCAACTAGACCTGATCCACTCCATGTTTAACCCAAATTCGTCTAATAAACCCATTCATAACCTTGGTTCATTTACCGGCAAAATCCCTCATTCGTTTCCAATCTGTCTCTAAGCATTGGCTTTCAGTTATTTCCAACCCAACATTTCGGCGCCTCTGCTTCCGGCCTCGGCACACTGGTCCCTACTTTTTGTATCGGAGAGGAAGATATGCTATGGCGGAACTCAATTTCGTTTCCGTCGACCAAGTCTATGTCATCATGATATATATGATGATATGTTTGAAACCGGACAAGAATTTGATGATTTGATCGAGCGTCTTGAGAATGACCCTGAAACTAATGAGCCTATTCCGCCAGTGATTTGTCCCCAAACAAATAAACATTTTATTTCTTTCAATATTGGGTTTGATGCTTTAGAATCTGAGCACTACAAGTTAGTCTACGTTTGGAATGATGGTGAAAGGGTTAGTTTGCTCGCTATGCATCCGACACTGGGGTCTGGACAAATAGTACGTTGTTCCCCGAGGAAGAAGATGCAGAAAATATTGCAATCTATTTTGAGAAAGGAGTACTTTGGAATGGAAACATTTGTTGGGTTGATTCATATTTGGAAAGCTATTACTTTGATCCTTAAACTACAGATGGTTGGTCAATCGATGCTTCAATTCCACACTCTCGTACTTATTTGGAAAGCAATCATATGTATTCCCCTGAAATTCTACATTTTGGGGTGTCTGGGGAGAAGTTATGTCTTATCGTGCTAATTGATGCTCATCCGTTGCTATTTGAAATCTATAATATGGAGGTGGACTATTCAAGATGGAGTTTGAAGCATCGTGTATCCTTAGCATCTCTTACTAGTTTGTATCCATCAATGGTGCATCAAGATCCTTATTCAGATCGGTGGGAATGTAATTGCTGTTTTCTTAGTTTCCAAGTGGACGAGGGACAAAAGCTATCTCAATTGTTGATATCAACTCCAGAAAAAATCTTTTCCTATAAAAGTCACCACATGAATGTGAAAGAGATTGCTGACGTAGTTCTAGAGACTAAAGAGACCCATATTTGAATGGGATGAAGCATTTGAGCATGTTAAGACCTTTGTTTTCGTCTAAATTATTAGTTATGTACATCTCATCATCTTTATGACCTTTGTTTGTGTACGTAGTATGGCGATTTTGGTGTTTAATTATGTAATTTACTAAATATATGTATGCGAATAGTATGTTGTAGCTTCAGAAATTTTTAACAATCTTGCTACAAAGAATTGGTATTATTTTTTAATCTTGCTAATTTCTGATTTATATCACCATTATCATTGATTTTAATATTTATTTCCTAGTATGTGTGTTTTCCTTTGATGGGGAACGAGTATGGAACATTTTCTATTCTGGGCAATTTTCAAAGCTTGCTGGTAAAAAATCTACGAGAACTGTGGAAAGGTGGTACTTTGTACAAAATATCTTGGTTTTTTGAAGCTGGGACTTCTTATATGTCGTTGGATTAGTGGGCCACCGTTTGTATCACCCGTGCAATCTCATTTCTTCAACATGAGATTGATGCTTGATATCATAACATGCATTTTTAATGATTGATCTCAAGTATGCGTGTAGAAAAATTAAAAGTTTGTAGTGAAGTTAATGAAAACATTTAAAAGTCCTTTGATTTAAAGCTCGATTTTTTCAGAGAAAGATTGGTTGTATACTTGTATTAAATTGGATGACTGACAAAGTCGCTCAAAACAAACACAATAATCACTCTCTGATGAGTTCTAGCAAAGTGTACTGGTTCATGAGCTAGCAATTGTGTTGATAACCTATTGTATGAAATGGTGTGCTTCTATAAAAAAATTGCAACATATGTAAAATCTAAAACAGAACACAAAGATACAAAGAAAAGCGCAAAACATACGTATTCACCCATCAACCCTAAAATTACTGAAGATGAGTCAACGCATGTAAAATCATAACATGCTCCTCTAACAATTTATCTGGTGAAATCTAATGTTTGTTCTCAAGTTTGTAAAACCGTTTCATTATTTTTTGTTAGTTCCTTTGATTTAAGACTTTATCTTTAACAATCTTGGTGCGCGAGATCTTTCTCTACCCTCGAAATTAGTATCTGAAATGTAATAGCACAAATATACAATCCGGATGGCATGGTGAACAAATTCGTCTTGAAATTGGTCATACACTCATTCTTGGGAAAACTTGGCGGATCTACCCAAAACGTTACCTTTTTTGTTAAATCTACCATATTTCAGCTAGCCTATATTACCCGTATTTATGACTTTTTCATCCATTTCATCCAATTGTCATAATTTCTGTCCAAATTAACAAATTTTGCGAAGTTTTTCAATAAAATAATAAATTTAATTACAAAAATACTCAATAATTTTAAAAATTATAAAAATAATCTCTAAATATGTAAAAATAACAAAACAATCCATTTTGTGTACGTAAGCATTGGCTTCTCATAACCTTTTTCGATATCAAAGCATACAATGCGAAACCAACATGGACAAGCCCAATTAAGAACTTCATTCCATAATATCCCCTTCCATGAAATACTTCCAAAGTGGTAGGTTTTTTTTTTTTCTGGGTTACAATGGAAGGAGGTATAAGCCTATGTCAAACTACTAATACATTCCTTGGATATCATACACCAATTGTATCATGTTCTAACCATGGAATAAAGCATCATACAATCGTAAAAACCCTCATGTACTCGTTGCTACAAAAGAAGCAAAAAAATCACCAACAAAATTGCGTCCCGGAACTCATGTGACACTAGTACTTCCCAATTCTGGTTCAACAGCTCCCGGATTGCTTTCAATAAGTTGCTGTGGATAGCATAACCCTCTACACCATTTGAAATCAGTTTCGCAACACTCTGGCTCTCCATTTCCATCAAAACACGATGAAACCGCATCTCCCATGCCAAATTCTACCCCTGAAAGAGTCCACATAACTCAGCACACGTGATCGTGCAATAGATTATGTTCATAGTAAAACCTCCAAGCCATTTATCATGATGATCATGCAGAACATTGCATGCACTTGCCATCCCGGTCGTACATTGAAAGGCACCATCCATATTAACTTTAATCCAGTTATCCAGTGGTGCCTCCCATCGAATCCAAACTGTCTCACGTCCAGATTCCACTCCATGGAGACTCTTCTCCTATTCTAGTGCTGCTGCAATTCTATGAATATGCACGTTCATATCCACAATCTTTTGGCTTGCATTACACGATACATTTGAGAAAATGAAGGCATTCCGTTGCAACCAAAAGTCGCCACACTGTGACCCTGAACATACATTCCCAATTCTCTGCATCAATGCCCAATTGCATTTGTCATATTCTTCGATGCAGATCCACTATTCCACAGCCAAGTCAAAAAAAAAGAAAAAAACTCAACCTTATTCTTAGCAGGCACGAATCGCAATCAAATGTTAGATGCTTTTGGACAGTCACACAAAGCATGCATACTAGATTCTAGAGCTCCTCCACACAAACCACATGCTGGGGCGTCGGCAATATGCCAGCGCCATCATTGTGAATTTGTCAGATCGCAAGATTGAACCTTCTACCTACTAACTTTAATCAGTTCGCAAGATTGAAAAAAAAAACTATAAGATATTTTAACAAGGAAACAATTTCATGAGCTTCTGTAGGAACTAGTGAATCCCTTAGGTTACCTATTAACTTTTCACAATCTGTGTGAACCTTTACATGGGTTATACCCAAATTGGATACTTCTAGGAGGGCTGATAGACAAGTCGTTGCCTCCGTTTGAAAAGGAGAGAGAGCTCGCAGATCAACTTTCATGAGTTACATTACCATTCCATTAGATGAGACAATCTTACAAACTCCCATTGCTCTCCTCGTCCAAAGATTGAATGAGCCATAAAACACAACTAGAACATCCCTATTGTCCTCCATCTGAGGACTAATCCTTGAGTGTGTTGGGTAGGCAATATAGGATTCCTGACTCTTTGTTGTCTCTGTTAGCTGATTATGAAGCATGACTTCATTCTGGAAAAGTCTCCAAGACACAATTGGATCATTAGTTTGATTTCTCCAAAATTTGTCATTCCGCCTAACCAAATCCTCCAAATGATAATTAGGAAGAGATCAATATCAGCTTTGGAGGGGTGTGTTTGGAACCATTGAACAAACTACTATAACAAGGACTCACTGGTACAATTAAGTATTGAGTCAAAAGAAGGATAAGCCATACTCCATATTGCTTCAGACACTTCAAAATTAAGGAAGAGATGCAAGGTGTCTTCCTCATATCTGAAGCAGCAAGGAGAAACCGTATCAACGTATAAGCCACTTTTATTAAACTCTTTCCTCAATGAAAAGGCATTAAGTGATGGAGACCATCAAGCTAACACTAATGGAGAGGGACATGTTGCTGCCAATAATGGAGAGGACGAGCAAGTTGAGGTCGTGAATGCTAATGAAGGATCTAAAGATGCTGCTTTAAAGAATAATCCTTACATCCGTGATCCACTCTCAAACATTGTTGGACCAATGACTCGGGCTAGACGCAAGAGGATGAATAAATCACTTAATAGTCTAATTACTACTACATGGGCTAAGGAGGAAATTAAGCTTGAAGATTACAAGCCCAAGACTATTAATTTGTTGCAAGTGACACCAAATGGACTTGGCCCATTTGGAGAGAAGAATTTCGGCCCTCAATCCAAGGAAGAGCCACCGGCCACACCCTCATGTTGGTCGAATTAATCCCTAAAGTTTAGGGGTGAGATCATTCAAATTTTCTCTCTTTGAAAGATAAGACTTTATCTCTTTAAAGGATAATATTTGGGATGATTCTTTTTATCTTATTTTCGAGTTATCCTACAATAAGGAGTCAACTTTTGATGTCTACTCAACCGTTGGATGAAGACTACATCAAGATGGATGGCTAAGATCACTCTACAAAGAAGATGATGATAGAGTTTTAACTCAAGGGAGATTCTATCCATTGGAACTTTCTAAGAGATTATCTCTTTGTATTTTGAGTTTTAATTAATTCCTACAAGTCTTAAATGTTTTAAGACTAGTAAAAGTGTCTAGGTTCATTATCTTATCACTTAAGATA